GTCTTTATGGCTGAAAGCATTGTATACATAGGGATGGCTTGTGTTCATCCTTGAACTCAAGTTTTTACAGAAGACTTGCTGTTGGTGAGTAAAACTAACACCTGCTAGAGTGTAATTGCTCCCTGCCTTGCTTGCCTTTCAGTTTCTGAGAATAAAGGGTGGTTCGGCAGGAATCTGTAGATAAGTGTCCCTTGTCCGCGTCAGTGCTGATATGAAGGGGTCTGGAAGACAGACTGACAGGTGGTTCTTGCAGGTGGCTTTTACCCCAGGACTCCCACTTGGCCTGCTCTGGATCTGCCCCCATGACTGCCTCCCACAGTGTACTCACCACCTCATACAGTGTACCCACCCACCTCATGCCCAGGTACAGAGGCCACCTCCTCCACTTGTGATGGTGAAGGCCACCCTCCCTTTCCTTTTGCTTATCTTGGTATGTGACTGCCCTCACTATGCAGGGCCCATGGGCTTCTTGGCAGTGGTGAACATGATTTCCTTCTTAGGAAGGACTGTGCTGTGTCCCCTGAACTTTGGAGTGCTCCCCTAGATCTCACTCTGCCCTTGGGAGGGGGGTGAGTCCAGGGGCCCTGTGTCTCAGCTTTCTCTGTACTTTCTGGCAGCCTTTCCCCTGGAACATTCCAGGTTCCCCACCCAACCTCCAAGGGCTTGTATCGACCAGCTGGTGCAGTAGGGTCCACCTTAATTGTGAGCTTAGTCAATGATGGGCAGTGGCAGGGGCGCCTGGGCTCCCTCCCCTGTTCCTGAGTCTGTCTGCCTGCCGGGGGTGACCTTTCCTCATGCCTCCTGGTATTATTGTTCAGCAGAAGACCACCTACTCAGTTTCCCGTCCCTGCCCTCTCACTTCTGTTCTTCAAAAAGAAGGCATGTTTCCTAGGAAAAAGAGAGGGGGATAAGAGGAGGGGAGAAGAAGGTATGGGGAACCGGGAAGGTTGATTGAGGTAAGAATAGAGGAGAGCAGGATGAGAGATACCATAATAGATTGAGTCATTATAGGTTTGAGGAGAGAGCTGACACTAATGAGATATCCAGAGATCTACAAGGATAACACCAACTGGCAAACTAAGCAATAGTGGAGAGACTACATTAAATGCCCCTCCTTGAAAATAAGGTTGATGACTACCATATATGTCATCCTAGAACCTTCATCCAGTGACTGATGGAAGCAGAGATAGACACCCACAGCTAAACACTAAACTGAACTCCTGGAACCTAGTGACAGAGATGGAGGAGTGATGAGCAAAGGGGTCAAGACCATGATAGTGAAACCCACAGAGAGCTGACCGGATAAGGGGGAGCTCTTATATCCCAGACTGATGGCTGAGAGGCCAACAGGGGACTGATCCAGACTCCATGAATGTAGTCTCAGTGAGGAGGTCATAGAAATCACTGGGGCCTTGGGTAGTAGATCAGTGTTTACCATGGATTATGAATGATCTTTGGGAGCCCATTCCAAATAGAGGGATGCTCTCTCAGCCTGGACACATGGGGAAGGGCCTAGGTCCTGCCCTGGATGAAATGACAGACTTTGGAGATCCCCCAAGGAGGGCCTCACCCTCCCTGGGGAATGATGTGGGGATTGGGTGGGGGGCTGGGAGGCTGGTGGAAGGACAAGGGAGGAGGGGTGGGAGAGGGAGCTGGGATTGACATGTGAAGCATTCATGTTTCTAATTTAAATAAAAACAAAACAAAAATATGAGATAAAAAAGAAGGCATGTTTCCATTCATTGTTGCTTAACAGGGAAGGCACACAGTAGGTGCTAAATAAATTATCTTAATTAGGACAGCCAGCACTCTGAGAACTTCAGCAAGTCAAGCGCTGTTGGCTGTGTTTCACCTATAGCTTGTGTGAGCCTCACAACCACCCATGACAGACCCCAAGCTTTTGAAGAAACTGAGACACAGAGAACCTGAGTCATCGTATGAAGGTCACACAACAGAACTAGGATATAAACCCAGATTATCTGAGTCAAGAGATCCTCGTGCTGGGGAGCCAAGTGTTCTTCTGAACCCTAAAAACTATATGCAGGGAGTGTCAGCAAGACTCTCACTCAGGCTTTCTTCCCATCAGCCAGGAGCAGATGCAGAGCTTCTAGGAACAAACCTCTATGCCCCCAAGGCATCCCAGGTGATCCCAGAAAGGGCAAGGCCAAACTAACATGGAGAGGCCACCTTGGGGGCTCCAATCCTCCTGGTGTCTTATCACACAAGTCCCCAGTCAGCTTGGACGTTCATGCTGAGGACCTGGAAGGGCCTGTTGCTCCATACTTCTAGGTCCTCTCTTCTTCCCATAATGCTTCTCTGGAGTCTATCCTCACCAAAGGAGTGGGGGACCATCAACAAAGTTGACAAGAGAGCAGAAGTTAGCAAATGAAGGGAAAAGTGAAGCAGAGGATTAAGGAGGCTCCATCTCGGGGCCAAGTCCTCATTTCATCTGACTTGATAGCAGCCATGGCCTCCCAGGTACAGAGTACCATTATGTCTAATACCATGGGGCACCGAAGGGTACGTTCCCAAGGTCAAAGGAACCTTCCAGAGCCCCTCCCTTCCCTTGTGTGCAACCAATGATAGCCAGACATAAAGGTGATCAGGCAGGGCCCAGGGGTGCATCTCCTAAGTTTGCCTGCTGTGGCCAGTGCCTCTTCAAGACACCAGATAAAAAATGTCACCAAGAAGGAAGGAAAGTGGGAAGATAGGGAGGTCACAGAGCCCTCAGCTCGAGACTCCCTCTGACTTAGCAGTACATAGCGACCATTTGGATGGCGGGTTACTAGGTGGGGATATTTACACTAATGTGACGCTGTCATCACTGACTCCCTCCACCTGCCTGCACTTGATGTTGTCAGAAACCACACCTTTATGCCTGCGGTTTTTTTTTCTTACTCCCTGGCCTGGAAATGTTCCCTGGGGGATAGGAGCTTGACTCCTACTGAAGCCAGAGGACAGGGTCGGGTGAGGACCCTGGATGGAGTACTCTACTGTCTTTGCAGCTAACTGTGACTGCGCTGGATCACCAACACTCTGCTCTCTTCTTTCTTCCCCACTCCATCCCTCGGGGCCCACTGTCTACTAGGAAAAGGTGGGCGTTAGGTTGTGTCTTGCTGTAGCTAAAAGAGATTCACTGAGTTCTAAGTCCAGCACGGCCAAGCATAAACTTAGAGCGAAGGGCAGCGGGCACTCCAGTGCTTAAGGGAAGTTCTGGGTTGCCAGTTCAGTAGGACTCCTGCTAAAATAGACTGGGTGATGATACTGTCACAGTCACCGTCTAGGTGTCTTCATCCAGGTTGTTTTCTCCTTCAAGTAAAGAATTACAAGGTGGGAGGAGTCTCAGACACAGTAAGCAGCAACAAGTGTCAAGTTTTATTAAAAGTGAAGAAGTGCACGCGGCAGTCCCACGGAGAGAAAGACAGCAGAGAGGGGACAAAGTCCATGGACCCACACCCCCACGTGAGGCTTGGTGATTTTAAGTGCTTTGAGTGGCCTGGGACGGGTCTCTTTCTCCTAATTTTGAGCTGATCGGCTTAAGCAAAGAGAGAAGACTGAAAGAAGCTCAGTTCAGGACCAGCCTTGGACCAGTCAGCTGGAAGGGGCCCTGATGGTGAGAGAAAAGCCCAGACAGGAAGGGAAGGAAAAAGCCAGAAGCTAGCTACTTCCACATCTTCCATCCCTGTCTGTCTGCCGGGGGTCTGCAGTGTCCAGGCCAGCATGGAACTCAAACATGGCCACAACTTGGAAGTCTAGCCTCTTGGCTCATAGCCTATATGCCGTAACCATCCTTATCTCCATTCTCCTCAGCTAATTGGGAACCCACAGTCAAGTCCTAGTTACACAAAAAGGTCTATTCATTGGAATCAATAAGGAATCATAAACTACAATCTTCAGCTATGACTTTGGCCCTGGGAGAGGGTGTGAGGACCAGCGTGAAAAGGTGAAAGTGTGTGGGACTAGGGGCACGTTATGAAATGACACAAGGCATGGACACTGGATTCCTTCTTAGGAAGACAAGATTCAGACTAACCCTTAGTTATATTTTGGGGGAGAATGTAGAGCATGTCTTGGCTGTTATCCCATAATCTTGAGCAATGGTTCAGTCTCTAACCAGGAACTAGGGACTCATGATATCTTCCCTCAGCATACCTGTGGCAAGTCTCTCCCAGCTCATGCTTTTGTGTCTCCTGAAATATTTTTGTCAACTTACTTTGAACACTAAGAACACATGCCCCATCATTTCAGGCCTGTGTAGAAATTCCAGGCAAGTCTCTGCTAATCTCTGTGATCCTCAGGGTGTCCTTGCTCACCCCTTCATCTCTGTGACTGTCAGGTATCCTTGCTTCATTCCTGCCACACTCCAGCCTCTGAGGCATATAGAATCCCCATTCTTTTCCTGTAACTAGCACCTTCTTCAAAACTTTGCATATTGGTTTCTGGAGGTGAAGGGTTGGTGGTTCCTCTGTCCTTGGCTCCAGGATTTCAAGAGAATGTACCCAAAGTCTGGATGATTAGAAGAGGCTAGAGGAAGATTGATCTCTCTAGCTTAACTTTTCTCTTTCCATTGTAAATAAGAAGGCTAGTGAGCTATGCCCTAACAAGAGGCTGACATAAAAATAGATGGGGAAAGTGAAATGATAAATAAACACACCCAGTTCCCTCTGGGCAGAGAAGTAAATGAATCCCAGGGTCTGACTCTAAGAAGAAATGAAGGATTGGAAGAGGGAACACTAGGAGTTTGCCCCGAGGAGAGGAAGAGGATGGTTGTTACATGCTGTGGGTCAGCCTCCTATCCCTTTAACTTTTGAGTGCTCCAAACTTTTCTATCGCTCCCCTCCAGCACAGAGGCATTATAACCACCCCCCTCTCACATGCCCTATCAACTGGAAGTTCAAGAAGAACAACTCTCACAGTATCACTTTCTTTCTCTAGATCAGGAAGTTCAGTGCACTTGGCTTCACGCCAAAACACTATCTGCAGTGACTTAATTGCCAGTGACTTATAGCCCTCTGGGTTATAAGAGTCAGTGACAGTGAAGGCAGAGAAAGCATTCCTTTCTTGCTCTCTATGGTGAGATCACTGGCCTTCATCTCCATCTCAAGGCAGACCTTTCAGAAGAGCAGGACTACTTCTTGGTGAGCATTTCCAGTGTGGGCTGTGATACCTGGTGATGATAGCCAGCTATTAGGGGGAAGGTGACTTTGGAAGTGGTGAATCCTTAGCTGAGGGGCAGATTGCTCTTGAGCACCATGGCCCAGAACTTTCTAGCACATAGAGAGCTGCTCTCCAGAGGAGTGGCTTCTTGATTCAGCCATTTCAAATGTGGAAGGACATCTAGTGCCCTCCAGACCCATGCAAGAAGAATCTCTCCTGGGTGAAATTCCTTCCCTGGAAAGGAAGACCCCGCTATCTCCACGACTTGATAAAGGCTATGGTATCTTTTCCTGTTTTGTATCCTTCCAAATGACCACATCTAGCATAAAGCCAGCATAAAGTTTGGCTCTCAGAAAGAGTGAGTGAATGAATACATGGGCAACAACACAGTCTGGTGTGTGAGTTGCTGGATTACAGGTCTGAGCCCCATAGTTATGCCCCATTGCCATCACTTGCATCTCATTTCGCGTTCACAGAAGTCACCATGGCCTGGTCTGGCAGCCTGAAGAGTCTCCTCACAGTCTTTGTCTTTACCATCCTGGCTGTCTGCTCTGTGGGTAAGAGTAAACAAGGCATTCCTTTCTCCTAAAGATGGGAGGGGGAGGTAAGCAGTCAAGAGCCTTGTGGGGTGGTAACCAACCACATGAGACTCCAGTGGTCTGTCTACCCTCATAGCTTGACTGCTAGGAAGCATCAACTACAGGGCTCTGGGGTTACCTTTTAAATGACGTACATTTCCTCCTGGCAGACAGTTACCTGTGTACAGTACAACAATGTGAAGATGCATCATGTCCTGGCAGTACAAGTTCTTGCACAGCCTCTAAAGGCTGCTTCAATCAAATGCAGCAATTTGATACACCATGTAAGCCAACCCTCACACCCTGACAGTCCTCCAGTTTATCCTTGCTTCCTTTCCAGGATGAGACTGGTGGGAGCCTGGGGTTCTGGGAGGTGGTGTAGATGGAGCATGTGCTTGTTGTAGAACCTGGATTGTACATGATGAGGACCATTGGGATGTGACTCCACTCTTACTTTTCCAGCGTCAAGGATCAAACTCTGGTATAATTCATGCCAAGCAAGTACTCTACACCAGTCACTCCCTTTGTAACAAATGGTCCCTGTGTTGGTTCATTCTCTGAAACAGACCATTGCAGAGGGACTCTTGGAGAAGTGCTGTTCTCAAGGCAGGGGGTATGAAGGGACAAGCTCTTTACCATGAGCTCAGGAGGAAAATTTACTTGGTGGTTCAATTTTCTGCAGCTACGTTTACAGACCGCATTTTTAAGAACAAAGGGTGTGTTGGAGAATCAAACACATGCAATGATGAGTCATTCTCAGCAACGCTGGGTGATCAACGGAGATTTATCTTTGAAAACCGTTGCTGCACATCTGAGCAGTGCAACAAAGATGACATAACAGGTGAGTACAGCTCATGTTTGCGCCCCGGCACCTGCTGAGGGCTCCTCTGCCTTTCCGTGGGTCCATCTCTCTGCTGATGGGCTGCAGCCTGACACTTGCTTTCCCTGTTTGAAGCTTTCATTTATAAGGGTCTGGGTTGGATGCAAGCCACTCTCTTGGGTATGTGCGTACATACTTGCATACACAGACTGAGTGACAGCTGGGCAGCAGTGATTGGTCCTGGGCCTATTCTCTAAGGAGGATATTGCATCTGCAGGTTTAAATGCTTTGCTCTCTGCTCCTCCAGTCTAGAGTCTTTTCTCACCTATATTATTCCTCATCTCAGATTTTTGTATTGTTGAGATGGAGTCTTGCATGTATCCAGGCTTGTATTACTGGGATTGAGTAAACCGCCTGCCTCAGCCTCCAAAGTTGGAGCAGCAGAGAGTACATAAATGTGTGACCACAGCTGGCTCATTTCTCACCCTATGAACAGCATCTGTTTAGAAAAGAGAGTCTCTCTTCTCCCATTATGTAGGGCTTTTCCTTCTGGGCAGAGAACAGAGTACCTGACGGACTCTAAGGACAGCACTGGGTTTCTGTGAGATCCTTCAGTGCATTCACACGCCAGTATCTTTCCCCTTATCTTGGCTGCAATGCTTTCTGGTAGGCTCATGAGGAAAATACTATATCAGATGAGTAGTGGATAGCTGTGTTCTTGGTTATCTCTTCTGCCTGTTCCCCGAGATGAAAACTTTTCTCTCTCCATTCAGTGTCTTCATCTTCCTCACCCAATGGTGTTGTATGCACTGCCTGCTACAGTGAGAAAACCCAGTCATGCTCCTCAGTTACCACCCTAAAGTGCACAGGCAAAGAGACAAAGTGCATTGAGTTTACCGGCACCTCCAGCACAGGTATGAGTATTTCCTATAACATTTTTATGTACATACCCTTCTTTTTTGCTTCTTATCATTTAAGAAAACAATTGGTACTCTTCAAAGCTACAGTGCACCACTGTTTACTTCTGTACATCCAGAGCTTAGCAGCTGAAAATAGCAAACAGCCACTACATCCCAGTTTCTGCAGGTCTCTCTAGAATCTCAACCCAACACTGTCTCTGGTTCTGGCTCCAAGTGTCTTCTTGGGCTGTGTGAGTTGTCAAAAGCCTGAGGTCCTTCAAATGCTTAGGGTGTTTCCTGAGACTGTATCAGTTGTCAGCCTTGTGGCTGTGGTCCTTCAGATGAAGGATCTGCTTTCTAGTTTACTCATAATTTTGGTGGTGCCAATTCCTCTTCATGCAGTGGCCTCTTGACATACCAGCTGACTTCCCTCCAAGCTAATGATGAGACCAAGAGGCACCAACTGATAAAGGAAGCTGTAGACTTTAACAGTCTAATCTCAGAAGTGACATGCCATTTCTGTTCTATTTTTTAATCATTTAAATTAAAACTTTAATTGTAAAAAATTTACAAATAAAAAACATCATTTAGTGAGATTAGCCAGATCCAAAGATTAACATCTCTATGAACTTCATCTATACAGTTAGAGTCATCATCCCGAAGCTGTGAGGGCTTAGATTGACTTTTATATTTTCACGATCAACTATAGCTGTATGCACTTAGCTATCATATGCACACACACACACACACACACACACACACACACACACACACACCAAGCAAGCAAACAAACAAAACAACAACAACAAAGACAGGACAGAATCAAAACTCGAAAAAGCAATACGCTGTATTATACTGCCCTGACTCTTGTGTCCTTCACCTGTACCCTGTCCTTTCTTGTCTCTTAACGCTATCAACCCCTCTCCAGAGTCTTATCCCATCCCTCTTATCTACCTGTATCCTATTGACCCCACAGACCAATCCTGTTCTGACATGAGTGGGTCTTACAGAAGACCACTCTGTCAGTAGCTGGAATGAGTTGGGGAGGGTTTGCCTTAGAAGGTGTTTTCCGCACAGCGAAAATGGGGAGAAATGAGAGGAGAATGAGAATACTAACTCCTGGATCTTTCTTTTAGCAGCAGGATCTCCTTTAACGCTGTATGGGAAGGGCTGCGCAACTGAAAACACCTGCAATCTGCAACAGAATGTCCTCAATGGCATACAAATCAAAACCTCATGCGTCTCACCAGTTTCAAACAATGGGAGCCCTACCCTCAAATTAATTTCATCAGTTCCCATTGTTCTGCTTCTGCTGAAAGTCTTGCTTTGAACATCCAGGGACTGACAACCTCACAATCCTATGCACATGGACTCATTGGCATGCTTGGATGGTTATTTCCAAAACATGGAACAAATAAAAACTGGGATTACTTCTCTGTTCTTCATGTTCATTTTTGTAATACCAGGAAATATACAGATATGACTATTTCAATGTTTTCCCTCTTCTCCTTAATATGTAGTACTAGAAGTCCTAGTCAGAGTAATTAGGCAAATCAAATAATTAATTAAATATATTTAAAACTGAAGGAGAGAATAAATAAAGGCAAGAAAGGGAGAAAGGAAGGGAAGGAAGCTTATTCATATTAGAAAGAAATTTGTAAAACCATTAGAAGAAAACATTTGTGTATATGTATGTGCATGTATGTACACATCTATACATGCATGTATGTTATGCTGGAGAGAACCCTGGACTTAATGCTGGGAAATATGGTGCTACTGAGACACATTTCTAGACCTAGAAAAACAGTTTTTGGCATTAGCCCAAGTGGGTTCTGTCTTAGTCAGTGTTTCTAACAACTTGGGATGAGTAGTTCCCATCCAGTGGGGGGGGGGGACAATGCTCTACTTTCCATTGATGAGTGACATTAATGAGTGAGTGAGTGGGGTTTTCTTCCTAAAGTGACATAGTCATCTTGCTATGACTCTGACCTATTTTTCATCTGAGGGAAGAACAGCTGAGGTAACCCTGCCCCAGACTCTGCTGAAAGTGTGGCCTTTTGAATCCTGCACCTCCTCCGTCAGGCACCATCCTTAGCGCCAACTCATTAACCTCTTTGGAGTTCATACCCCAGTATTAATAGCACAAAGAGAGGAATTTTAGGTAGCAGAGCTGACAAGAGAATTGTGAAATGTACATCCTTGGACTATGACTTTGATGTGACAGCAAGTGGGATGGGAGTGGGGTGCAGCCTCAATGTCCTGCAGGGGAATGAATGGAGAAAAGCAGGGGTGCCTAAGGTGTCAGGTGAGGGTTCAAGAGGACACTGAGAAGGATTGTTGGAGATAAGAAGTTTATTAGAGAGATCCAGGGAGACAAGGGACCAGCTGTTCCGGCGGGACCAGGTACAACAGGCCCTGCATCTGGGCCTGCTTTCCAGTGCCTGGGGATTGCCTGGGAACTGCACAGAGCTTCCAATCCCAGTGGGAGCCAAGCACCCCAGATTCCAAGTCTTCTCTTCCACCAACGAGACCAGGAAACCAGCAGATCCAGCAAAGGGACCAGGGGACCAGGTGGGAGGCTAAGCACCCCAGATTCCTTGTCTTCTTCTGCACCCACGGGACCAGAAGGAGGATGAGGAATAGAAGAACTACCAGATTATTGGACTTGCTAGCACCCACCAAAAGGGAACTCTGGTCCCCTAACCACCAGACCAGTAAGGGGCTCTTTCTGCACCCACTACAAGAAGAGATGGGAAAGAGACAATACAAAAACACACTCAGCAACAGAAAAACAAATATGACACTGCCAGATTCTAGAGATGCCATGCCAGCAAGACTCCAACATTCCAATGCAAATGAAGCAGAAGAGAATGACCTTAAAACCACCTTCATGAAAATGATAGAGGCCCTAAAAGAGGATATAGGAAAATCCTTCAAAGAAATGGATGAAAAAAACAAACCAAAAAATGCAAGACATGGAAGAAAAAAACAAACCAAAAATGCAAGAAATGGAAGAAAAACAAAGCAAAAAAGGCAGGAAATGGAAGAAAAAACAAACCAAAAAATGCAAGAAATGGAAGAAAAAACAAAGCAAAAAATTCATAAAATGCAACAAATGGATGAAAAGATAAACCAAAAAAATGCAAGAAACAATGCAAACAGTGCCAGGGTTGAAAACTGAAATAGAGAAAATAAAAAAAACACAATCTGAAGAAAGTCTGGAAATATAAAAGCTGGGCAAATGGTCAGGTTCTACCGATATAAGCATTACCAACAGAATACAAGAGCTGGAAGAGAGAATCTCAGGTGTTGAAGATACACTAGGAGAAATGGATTCATCAAGCAAAAAAAATCTTAAGACCAACAAATCCTTAACACAAAACATCCAGGAAATATGGGACACATGAAAGGACCAAACCTAAGAATAATAGGTATAGAAGAAGGTGAAGAAAACCACCTCAAAGGGGCAGAAAGCATATTCAACAAAATCATAGAAGAAAACTTTCCCAACCTTAAGAAAGACATGCCAATGAAGGTACAAGAAGCTTACAGAACACCAAATAGAGTGGATCACAAAAAAAGTCCCCTTGCCTTGCCACATAATAATCAAGACCCCAAATATACAGAATGAAGAAAGAATATTAAGAGCAGCTAAGGAAAAAGGCCAAGTAACATATAAAGGCAAACCTATTAGAATTACATCTGACTTCTCCATGGATACTCTGAAAGCCAGAAAGTCCTGGATAGATATTCTACCAACACTAAGAGACCATGGATGCCAGCCCAGACTACTATACCCAGAAAAGTTCTCAATCACTATAGATGGAGAAAACAAGATATTCCATGACAAAACTAGATTCAAGCAATACGTATTCACTAGCCCAACCCTACAGAAAGTTTTGGAAGGAAAACTCCAACCCAAGGAAGTTAACTACAACCAGAAAAACATAGGCATTAGAGAATCCCTCTCTACCAACAGCCAAAAGAACAAAGGGGTGAAATTCCACACATAATTCCACCACCAACAACCATTCCAAATCAAAGAAGAATGAACAATCAATGGTCATTAATATCCCTCAACATTAATGGCCTTAACTCACCCATAAAAAGACACAGGCCAGCAGAATGGATTTGAAGACAGAACCCATCCTTCTACTGCATACAAGAAACACACCTCACCCTCAAAGGCAGACATTACCTGAGAGTTAAAGGTTGGGAAAAATTTTCCAATCAAATGGACCCAAGAAACAAGCAGGGGTAGCAATCCTAATATCTAACAAATTAAACTATAAAATAAAGTCAATCAAAAGAGATAATTACATACTCATCACAGGTGAAATCCACCAAGATGAAGTATCTATCCTGAATATCTATTCCCCAAATACAAAGGCATCCACATTCGTAAAAGAAACATTACTGAAACTTAAATCACATATAAACCCCTACACAATTATAGTGGGAGATTTCAACACACCACTCTCACCACTAGACAGGAATACCAGACAGAAACTCAACAAAGAAGCAAAAGGTCTAGAAGTAATGACTGAACTGGGATTAACAGACATCTATAGAACATTTCATCCACATAAAAAAGAATATACCTTCTTCTCAGCACCACATGGAACCTTCTCAAAAATCGACCACATACTTGGCAACATATCAAACCTCAGCAGCTTCAAAAAATTGGAATAACTCCATGCATCTTATCAGACCACCATGCTTTAAAATTAGAATTCAATAACAACACAAATTGCAGAAAACCTACTAATTCATGGAAATTGAATAATGCACAACTGTACCATTTCTGGGTCAAAGAAGAAATAAAAAAAGAAATTAAAGACTTCCTAGAATTCAATGAGAATTAAGACACAGCATACCCAAACCTATGGGACAGTTTAAAAGCAGTACTACAGGGGAAGTTCATAGTACTAAGTGCCCACATGAAGAAACTGGAGAGTAGTTATACTAGAGAATTAACAGCACAGCTGAAAGCTCTAGAACACAAAGAAGCAAACTTCCCCAGGAGGAGTAGATGCCAGGAAATTATCAAATTGAGGGCTGAAATCAATAAAGTAGAAACTAGGAAAACAATACAAAGAATCAATGCAACAAAGAGTTGGTTCTTTGAGAAAATCAACAAGATAGACAAACCTTTGTCCAAACTTACCAAACAACAGAGTGTGAATATGCAAATTGAAAAAATCAGAAATGAAAAAGGGGACATAACAACGGACTCTGAGGAAATTCAGAGAATCATCAGGTCATATTTTGAAAACCTGTACTCCACAAAATTTGAAATTTAAAGGGAATGGTCGACTTCCTGGACAGCTATCACTTGCCAAAATTAAATCAAGAACAGATAAGCAATTTAAATAGATCTATAACCCCCATGGAAATAGAAGCAGTCATCAAAAGTCTCCCAAACAAAAAAAGCCCAGGCCCAGATGGCCTCAGTGCAGAATTCTACCAGAAATTCAAAGAACAACTTATACCAATTCTATTCAAAGTATTCCACGCAATAGAAACAGAAGGGCCCTTGCCAAACTCTTTCTATGAGGCTTCAATAACCTTGCTACCCAAGACACACAAATACACAACTAAGAAAGAGAACTTCAAACCAACATCCCTCATGAACATCGATGCAAAAATATCCAATAAAATACTGGCAAATTGGATCCAAGAACACATCAAAACAATTATTCACCATGATCAAGTAGGTTTCATCCCAGGGATGCAGGGATGGTTCAACATAAGAAAATCCATCAATGTAATCCACCATATAAACAAGCTGAAAAACAAAAATTACATGACCATCTCACTAGATGCTAAAAAAGCCTTTGACAAAATCCAGCACCCCTTCATTATAAAGGTCTTGGAGAGATCAGGGATAACAGGAACATACCTGAACATAATAAAAGCTATATACAGAAAACCAACAGCCAACATCAAACTAAATGGACAGAAACTCAACACAAGGGCTGGGAGGTGGCTCAGAGGTTAATAGCACTGGCTGCTCTTCAAGAGGTCCTGAGTTCAAGTCCCAGCACCCACGCGGTGGCTCACAACCATCTATAATGAGATCTGGTGTACTCGTCTGCCTCTGGGCATAAAGGCAGGCAGAACGCTGTATATAAACAAATAAATTAAAAAAAAAAGAAACTCAACACAATTCCTCTAAAATAAGGAACAAGACAAGGCTGTCCACTCTCTCCATATCTTTTCAACATTGTACTTGAAGTTCTAGCCAGAGCCATATGACAACAAAAGGGCATCAAGGAGATACACATTGGGAAGGAAGAGGTCAAACTTTCACTATTTGCAGATGATATGATAGTTTACATAAATTACCCAAAGAACTCTACCAGGGAACTCTTACAGCTGATTAACACCTTCAGTAAAGTGGCAGGCTACATGATCAACTCAAGAAAATCAGTAGCCCT